AGAAGCAAAATCAAACAATAAATCAAACACACAAGAGACAACAATTTAACGTGGTTCGATCGAACTGACCTATATCAACAGATGAGAAATAAGATCCACTAGTTATAGAGAATTACAAACTTACATCAAATCATCAACCTCACTCAATAATCAATACTTATAAGACACTCTCAATCTCTTCTAGTCCTATGAAGTATTCTCAACCCAAACAAACACAAATCCAAATCCTTGTGCACCCTTTCAACATAACCAAACACATACCCATATGCTCTCATACATCATACTTATGTGAACCCTCTCAGTCTCTTCTAGTCCATTCACTCAGTCTCTTCTAGTTCATTCACAAACAAACACACACACTCATAAGACGTAGAGCCCCAATACTCCTATGGGGTGTCTATCCCACAAAACCTTACAACTTTCTTACATCTTTTTCTCATGTCTAACCCTGTAGAGACTTCACCTATTTATAACCATACAAACTTGCCCATTAAAAATCTATTTCCTCTTAGAATTCTTCTCTTGTAAGTTAAACTTGTCTGTTAAGAATTTTTTTCCTTTTTGAATTCTTCTCTTGCAAGTCAAACTTACCTATTAGGAATCCTCTTTCTTTTAGAATTCTTTTTTTGCAAGCCTTTTTATCTATTAAGCAATATCTAACAAATTTCAAACAAATCTCTAACAAATTCCAAACAAATCTCTTATGGGATTTAAGTCAATATTCCTAACAGTTATCAAGTTTTCTTTGTTTGAGCAAGTTTAAATCATTGAATTCAAGATATTCAAATTCATTTCCATTTAAAAACTTGATAAAATAATATTTCATATTTTAAAGCTTGACTCTAGTAAAAATTATTTTTAAAGCAAAACATAAAATTTCAAAATTATTAAGCTTTGAGTGCTTCCTCTAAGTTTGTGCATAAACATAAAAACAATTAAGCACATAACTTAATCACATCAAGCATATATAAAATATATCTTAAGCATTAAACATAATATCAACAAGCATGAGGAATATATCAAAATCATACATTCAAAAAAAAAAAAATGCATACTCAATTCAAGCTCGTATTTTCTCAAGATTATGCAACATATGTTTTGTAATCAATTTCAGTCAGATTTTGTATAATTAATCAAGCATTCATAAATTTCATCAAGAATAGGTAACCAAATTCAATTTTTCTTCAAATAAAAGTTTAGAAGTTGCCCATCTTCATTGTGTGTCTAGAGTATTCAATCTTCAATCTCACATTGTAATTCCTTGCTTTGGCCTACCTACAAGATACAATCTCATTTGATTTTTGGTACCCAAATTGCATTGGGTCCTTGAGAGTTAGTCACCGAGTCTCTTGTTCCTTTTGGAACCCATACTTACTTAGCTCTAAATGAAACTTTTTTTTATAGGACAAGTATGTGTAGTATGACCATGAAAATGATAAAAATTACATTTAATCATTTTAGTACTTAATAAGCTCTTTAAAAGCTTTTGTTTTTCATTCATCAATTCATCAAATTTCTTTTTCAAAGCAATATTTTCATTTTCTAAAAATTCATTTCTACTTTGAGAGGTTTCTAAATCTATTTTCACCATTTTTTTTTTCTAAAACAAATTTTGCATTCATCAAAAACTTATTCTTTACATTCAACTTTGAAATCATTTTGTTATGTTTCATTCTCATTGATTCAAATTCCATAACTAACTTATCAAAGGTATCTTGTAATTCATCAAAGCTATATGAATTTGAATCAATTAAGTTAGAGGTTACCTTAGACTCTTCAAGAGCCATGAAATATGATGCATTTTGGTTAAAAATTTATTTTTCATGTAGTTCATCCAACTTTCTCCATATTTTATTTGAAGTGTAGCAATTTAAAACCAAGTTGAAGTTGTGGGAGTCAAGAGCTCCATAGAAAATGTACTTGACCTTTGCATCATCTATCACTTATCTTATATAATTTGCCTCATTTGAAGGAATTTCAAGCCTTTTCTCTATCAAATTCCAAACTTTAAAATCATGGGTCATTATAAACACCTTCATCTTTATTTTCCATTCATAAAATTCATATTTATCGAATATGGGAGCTCGAGGACGTCCTCACCATCTTGAAACTTAAATTGAGCTATAAGATCTTTACTCAAGGTGGTTAAACTTACAAAAAGAAACCAAAGCTCTGATACCAATTGTTAGCTTTTTAGGTAATATGGTGATCCAAGAGAGGGCAAATTGGATTTCTCCAAATCCCAAACAATGATTTCGAAATAATTGAATGGAAAATTAAAATTAATATCACAATATAATGCAAATGACAACAAATTGATGAACTTGAAGCAAATATAAACTATAATCAAAATAAAGAGATAAGGATAGAAAAATCAAACATAAAGATTTATAAAGGTTCGGTCATTCTTCATAAGGCACCTACGTTCTTTCACTTGGTTGTCCACACCAAGGCTTCAATCCACTATTTTTGAATTGAAAATATAACCCTATCTTTTTCTCTCTTAGGATTAAGATAAAAATCTTACACTCTCTACTTTCTATGCTAATTAGCAACCTCTTAATCCCATAAATTCAAGAAGATACCTCACCTATTGATTACAAGATCACTTAATAAAAATACAAACTTACAATATCTCTCAAAGGCTAAGTGTTTGCCTAATGAAGTGCAAAAAAAATTGATGAATGAACAACAATGATTTGGATACAACAAATTCAAAAATATAGACTTTAAAGCTCTAAAACTCTTGAGAAAATGAATATATAGCTTTATTGATCTTGCTATCTTGATTCATCAATATTTTTGGTGTGTTGGAATGGCCAATATATAGAGAGATTGAAGAGTTAGCTGTTAGGGATGCTTGGGAGAAGAAAATAACCATTGAAAGCTTGAGAAACTACTCGTTGGAGTTGTTACAGGGCATACTCGATTGATCCCTTCCATGAGGGGATCAATTGGTTCATGTTTTACTACCCATTTCAAGCTTGGAAAACAAGACCTGATTGATCCTTTCATGTAGGAGATTGATTGGTTCAAGGGGGTGATCGATCCCTTACATAGGGTGATCGATTCCTTCTTGCATTTTTAACACAAAAAATGCTTTTGTAAAAAAAATCAATCGATCTATTCCTTGAGGGGATTGATCCTGTCAAAGTTGGATAGTTGTTTCCTCTTCTGCACTCTACTTACGAATTTGATCATATTTTGAGTTATACAAATCCAAATAAAAATTTGTTTGAAGATTTAAAAACTAGACTTAAAGGGCTTTCTATCCATTTAAATTAATTACCTAATTCACTGTTTACGAATTATAGTGAGTTTTCAAATCTACCATTTGTGCAATTTTTAGATAACTGTAAAGTGTCTAGTAAAAATTCAAAATCTTTTCTTATAAAATTTGGATTTTGATTTTGTTTGATCCATTAGAAAGTAAACTCAAAGAACTTTCAATCCATATAAAATTTAAATATTAAAGCTTTGTGAATTAATACAAAAAAATAAAACAAGTTCAACATTGAAAAACTTTGTTCTTGTAAAACAACTTTCTTAAGTTAATTTATTTCTCAAAACTAATATTATTAAAATTGTATTAAGTCTAAAATGAATAAGTTCACTTTAAAAACAACAATTTGACTTTCATTTAAGCTCAAATAAATAATCTTTAAAGATAGTTTTGATTTGAGAAATAAGAAAACATAAAGAAATGTTTGTTTAAACTTTGAAAATCATATTATTTATTTAGTACAAAAATAATAAAACTTAAGAACATGTATTAAATAAATCTTTTTCAAAATATTGATCAAACTTATTTTGCTTAATATTTTGTCATTTCAAAATAAAGATTAATTCAATGCTAACGAATATTTATCATTATTATCATAGTAAAACAATTATTTATTGAAATGAAATTTTAGAAATAAGAATTATACGTGCATTACGCATGTGCTAAACATTAGTATTAATAAAAAGCTTTTTTAGGAGTGTCTAAAATAATTTTTAGGGTGTTAAGCAAATTTTTTTTTATTTTAAGTTTTTAAAATTTTTTAAGATGTTCATAATCATCTTACCTTTGCATTTACATCCTCCATTGCATTTTATGTATTGAAACATGTGTCGTAAAAATTTTTATTGATTATTTATAAAGAGTCAAGAAGTGAAACTGCTACAATTTAAAAGGCCTTATAAATATATGACTAATTACTAGTAAAGCATTTTGATCCCTACTTAAATGCTACAAAATCCATGTGTTTATCACTTTTCTGATCAGATTTCAATGCACTGAGTAGGTGTTGTTGCTGTAACTTCTATCACTTTCTTTTCCTTCTCCTTTTCCTTTCCCCACAAAGTTAAATACAAACCAAGAATTATCAGAAGAGCTCCCACAACACTATAAAATATGAAAAATAGATATCATCAGTTATAAAATGAAAATGGTCAAAGTAAAAGCAAGTAATATTAACGATTCTATAAAAAAAATATTATGTTTATAAAATTATTTTTATAACGTGTAGATATAGTAGTAATTGATAGGTAATTTGATGATTTATGATAATTTATTGAAAATTTTTTATTTTAGCAAGTGATTTTCAAGGCACTTATTAATAAACATAAGGATGACCATAAGTTAGTTTTAAACGGTTTGATCACTCAAAATCGATGGAATTTAGTCAAATTGATTTGGTTAATTCATTTTTGATAATGATAAGTTAAAAAAAGTGATTTAGATTTTTTAATTTTGATTTTAAAATTAATAATTGAAACAGTCAAATTAATTGACCTTTTTAATAGATTTTTAAATATATTATATAATATAAATATATAAAAATATTTTTATTTATATTTTTAAAAATGACAAATATGATATTGGTGATAAAAATGAAATGACCATAGTTACCTTCCCAAAAACAATACATCTCCCAAAATAAGCAGTGCCATTACTGTGGTAATAACTGTCGCCAAAGGTCGAAATGCTGTAATGAAAACCGCACCTTTGGTTCGTGCCACTAATGCTTGGAGATAAATTGAAAGTCCAGATACGACAATCCCCTGCAATAATCCCTCATATATATGTTGGATTATAGATACAATGTAAATATCATTGGTAGGCTTAATTTTAGTATTTATGGTAAAAAAAAAATGAAAAGATGAATCATGAATTTATAAAGCTTACACTATAAAGGACAGCAACAAGATTCATGTCCCAGGACAATCCCCAGGAGGATGCTTTATGATCTAGAACAGCTGCCATGATTGCTGAAAGTAAAGTCCCTGATAAGCAAGTTAATGATGTAAGAGTCATTGGAGCTGGATACTTCCTCACTGTCATAGTCTGCAGAATTATATGTTAATATTAGTAGTTAAAATTTTACTTAACAGTAAGTAAATATATACTATTAAGTTGATTGATCAGTGTTTTATTTATTTATTTTTTTGTGCGAAAATGTTTAATGTAAGGGGAGGCTTTTTCGTTCCAGGGTCGGAGTAAACTGCAGACCTCATAAAGAACTTACAATGGATTTTAAGATTGTCCCCAAAAGGATCTACCAACAGTGGGATTCAAATTTAGACTTTATAAATAAGTATTCAAATTATATCAACTCAATCAATTCCCTTTAACAGATTGATCAGTTTAGAATTCATGTTGAACATGTACTCAAGGGACATGATCATAATTTCAAGAATGATGAGACTTATCCATGTAACTGACAGCTAGAATCCTATATTAATAGAAAAAAAGGGGGATATTATTGATTCTGAATCACCTGTAAAACATAAAATGCAGAGAATGAAAGGAATGAAACCAGGAGCATGAGAGAGCCTTTAATCCAGTCCTTGTTGAATTGTAGTTTTGAAGTTCCAGTCCGATGTTGGAGTTGAGAGTGTGGTGAAATCACAACACAACCCTTGTAAAGTGTCATTACTATTGCACCGGCTAAGGCAACAAGAGTGCCTACAACCTTTGCTTGGGCACTTGGCTTGGAGATGTCCAAGGGCTCCATCCTGCATGTTACAAACCAAACAAAAAGTTGCAGTCCCCAAAGAGTTTGAAATAATTAAAAAAAGGGTCTTTAAGGATAAATCACACGTGGATTCTTTGCAAAAGCTTGCAATGTCTGAAAAAAAATGTGCTGATAAGATTTCACTTTAATTGTTGATTTACCTGCATAAAACAGCTATTATAAAGGTTATTGATGGAATTAAGTTGGACAAGGCAGATGCAGCGGCTGGCGATGTGTCTTTTAACCCTACATAAAAGAATGTCCTTCCCAGAAAGCTCTGACAAGTGAGGTATGCATACAATGAAACAAATAGCTGTGAAGTCAATAATTCACTAAATAATTTTACCTTTTCAGCAGTAACTAACAAATTTCTGATCTGATTACGGAGGAGGTTGCTAGAAATTGAGATGGAGAGCATGTGAGACCATTTGCCAGATATAAAAAGGAGAATCAAATCAAATATATTTAACACTCTTTACCCTATGATAGCGTTCAATATCATTTTCAAAATCATCATGGTAATTTAATCACCAAGGTGATCTTATCACCAATGAGATCTTATCATTATTTAATTTAAAATCAGTAATTCTTAGTAATTAAAAATCATTGTATTTGGTATTACTAGAAATCAAACATTATTTAGTTTGACAAGATCAAGATAACCATGCACATTATAATAGCTACACAAGTTAATGATTTCAATAATATTTGAAGATAATAATTTATATATAAACTATTAATAATATTTTATTTACTTCATAATAAATATAATTAAATTATTAAATTAAAATATATTTATAGATAATAAACTAATTTTATAGTAGAAATTATTTAAAAAAAATTTTGAATTAGAAAATAAAACTAACATATTAAAATCAAAAGATTATATTATAAATAATTTAATAAAATTAAAAAAATATCACAAAATATTTTTAAACTTATTACAATGAATATTAATTTAAACATATAAAAATTATAATATAAAAATATTACAATTAATTTTAAGAAAAAACAAGTTTTTAATTAACATATTAAATAAGTAATATGGACTATTATTAATTTTATATATCACTTTACTTCGGTGATAAAAATTTTTCATTCCTTTGGATAGGAAGTACATCACCCTAAGACAATAATTTAAGATTACCATCATGTAACATCATTAAGTGTTTACTAAACACGATGATCTAATCAACGTGCAGCATAGATCATCATAATTTTTAAGTGATTATCTTGTATCAAACACTACCCTGCATCTTCTCTACTTTCTCTTTGTTAGCTTCAGCTCTCTCTTGCTTCTCTCTTCATACACTTAACTAACTTGAATGTCAAGAGTGTGTCCCCCAATATTACTTCCAACGTCCCAGATTTTCTTCTCTATTATAAATCTTACTCGCTGTCCATCATAACTTTTAGCAAGCTCCTCAATCACCAGACCAAAAATTACATGAACAAACCCTTTCTGATTTCGGTTTAAGCAGAAAAACCAATATTTTGGTGAGGTGAGAAAAACTGACCCAAAGATGGCCAGGAAAAAGATCTCTCTCATGATTACCATGCTAAATTTTGTATCAGTTTTTCTGTAAGATCAGAGATTGCATTAATTGATTAATATACAGAAATGAACTTAATTATATATACAAGAGTAATCAAAAGAACTGTCCATCAAAATCATACTTGTCAGAATTAAAGAGTAATTTCCTTTGAAAACACTGAGATTACTCATTGAAAAAAAGTAAATAGAGAATTAATCCATAAGAACAAGCAGTAATTATTAAAAGCAAAGAAGGAAGAAATAAAAGAAATTGCCTTTCAAAAAGAAGTGCAAGAAGTGCAGTGGTGAGAGCTCCAAGTGCTTGTCCATAAACAACAAGCACGTAACTACTCATGCCATTATCAAGAGAGACCTTAGAGATTACGTTGAATCCTGCAAAGCAAACACTGCAAAATATGCAGATTGCATACGGTTTCACCCCTTCAATCATTAGCTTTGTCTTTCTCTGCTTCATCCCTCCAACGTTTTCACCATCCTGATGATGTGCTTCCATTTTCATTAATGATAACATGCATTTTTTTTTTAATGATGATCATCTGCTTTTAACTAGGCAAAGGCACCCAGTTCTTCTGACATTTCACATCCCCTCCATCGATTGTTGAATCCACTTCGTGTGGCAATGTGGTTCATGACTCAGATGCGAAAGAACCCTAATAACAAGCATCCAATCAAATTACTATATATATATTGGGCCACTCATTATATTTGACATATAATTCCGCAAATACAAATGCTTCCTTATTATCCCTTGATTCAGTTGGTATGTTATTAAAATTAGCATTTGAAAGTTACGAGTTTAAAAAAATTTATGCTCAAAATGTTCTTTTTAACTAGATAAATGGTAAGGTAGAATGATTTGAGGGTAGATCAAAAATTAAAAAGCAATTATTATTCATTTTTGCTGTATTCAAGCATAATAATCATCCAAAAAAAGAAAGAAATTTCAAAGATGCGTATTGTCAAATATAAACATAAACTAAGAGTCCAAATTTAATTCAATAAATTTATGTAGTTTAAAATTTAAATTTTAAAATCTACAATTTTTTATCTTGTTATCAAACTGCAATATGCACCGAATGCGACAAATATATACATGAAAACATGTCTGCTAAATTTTATTTTTGGCTACTTGTTTAGCCTTTTTTTTAAAGGGGGGCGGGGGGAGAATGACTTCAATTTTATTGGTGGCAATAAAGTAAGTGATCTTGGTGAGTGTACTTCAACTATTAGAGGATATAAAACATTTAAAGTGGGAGATATGGGTGTTTCTGTGTGAGTTTTTCTTATGTTTACGGTGATACAAGCAAATTTGGTTTCCTATTATGTGTATATATGTGTATGATTCATCATTGATGAGGTGCGATTTGCATTTTTGTTCACTTTCAAATTAATTATTTAATAGTATGGTTGCCAAATCATTCGTTTATTTTGGGGCTAATGATGGAGTAAAACTTAAGTAAATTTTCTTAGATAAAGTTTATAAATTTTTTTTAATGATTTAATAAAATTTTCATAAAAAATTTAAATTATAAACTGATTGAATTCAATGTAAAAACTAATAATATATAAAAAAAATTACTTATTATTCAAATTTGATCGATATTTATTTACCAGTAAAAATTTTATTAATATTTTTATTAAAAATATCTATCTAAAAAATTATATCAAATTTTCTTAAAATCTATTCAAATTTTACATACTTAGTCTATATAATGAGACATTTCAATTTATTAATTTTGATTTTGATTTTTAACTTTTATTTTAATCATTTTTAATAGAAAAATTCATGAATTTCACCTAAAAAATTTTATTTAAATCTTTCTCTTAATAATTTAGCATGGATTGGATAATATTGAATTTAATAAGTAAAAAATAAGTTTTTCTATATTAGCATATGCAACTACTTTTTTAAGTTACAATTTCTTTTATATATATCAAAAAATTTTTTTCACTAATGATAAGTTGATAGTTGACTGATTTATAAGATTTTAACATAAGAGGTTTAAAAGTTAAATTTTATTAGCAGTCTTTTTAGGCTACTTAATTAGGTGTGTAATTCAACTAATAATTCACCAAACAGCTCATTAAGCTTGTTCTATAAAATAAATAAATTATTTTGAATAAATTTCTAAAATTCGTTTAATAAATGAGTTGAACTTGATCGTACATGTGTCCAGTTGATGAATGTATACAAACAAATTAATTTATTATCTATTTATATCCCTTGGGAACTCATTTAAAGCAAACTTGCATATTGTTAGATTAAAATAAAATAGTAGGAGTAATATATTTTAGATTAAAACCTAAATTATTGAAAAAAAAAAAGAGTTAAAGCAACATATTTGATTTTCTTGGTAAAAGAAAATTTCTGGGCCAAGCCCAATGCTCCATTGTTTAACAGACCTTGTTTAAATCCAAAAAACCGAAGCTTAAACAGTGAAAATAGCAGAGTGCAGACCGGGACTACAGAATGATGGCACACCGCCTTTCAACTCCTCTGTCCCGCCGCCTCTCTTCTTCTTTCAACAGCCGTAACACTCCAAGTCCTTTCGTGGGGCAGAGGGGCATCAGGCCAACTAGGCGGTGGCATTGAAGAAATCAGAATATACCCTTCTCCAGTTTTACTCATTCTGTGTAAATGTTCACCGAGATATGTTACCAAGAAGCTGTAACTGTAACTGTAACTGTAACTGGTAATGAGAGGCCTATTTCTTTGTTTGACGCACAGAAACAGGAAGAGGGAACTGATGAGTGGAAGTTATTAGATGCCTACATCATTCCAAGGAATGGATCTGATCCTTATGCCATCAACCCTGAGGGATGGATCTAATACCTACAGGTTGAGTTTCTTTGTATCATTTTGAAATTTCGCAATGGTTTCCATATTTTTCCGTTATTTTTCCCACGGGAGTGTTTTTCCTGCCGCAGAAAGTTGTAACTTAGATTTGTGGTTTGAATCGTATTAAGGTGATAGGGGACTTTAGATGTAAATCATGTGAATGTGGTTCAATAATTATTCCTGTAATACACATTGTTTAGAGGTCAACAGTTGCTAAGAATATTATGAATCTGTTAAAATCTCTGTGTTTAAGTTAATATGGAGTTTTCTTCACGGGCATTCTGTTGAAGAAAATTGTTCCCCTCCAACTCCGAGCAGCATTTTTCTTGATACCCTTCATTTTATGATCATTTGATGGCTTGGGAATTTGACTTATATCTCTTGGTAATTTTAGAATGTGTTACATCCTACATTAGATAAAAAAATTTAATTATTAGTAAATAAAATTAATTTTTATGTTAATTTTATTCATATTTTAAATACTTATGCTTGAATAGAAATAATTATCATATGATAAATAGTAATAATTATTTGAATATAAATAAATTATTATTTATAAAAATAATGATTATATAAAAGGTAATAACTATTTGAATAGAAATTTATATTTATTCATTTATTATAAATAGATCTCTCAGTATAATCATTTTCATTAGTTTTGATTAAAAAATTTTGAGATTTTCTTATATCCTAAAGACATAATTGTCTTTAAAAAAGTGTTTTTCACGTTTCAAAGCCAATTTTTTATTATTTTTCTTAATTTATTTATTTTCTAACAATTTAAAGGCAATTAAGAAATTCATATTTTGTATGAAAAT